ACATTTAAAAGAGAATTTATTCTTGCTATTTAGACTAAGCTATTAATTGAAGTGCATTATATAAAAAGCAAAACTACAGTAAGTCTGGTCTCGTGTGGCGCTTTCTCCAAGGCCGCTGTGCGCATCATTTCAGCCAGCAGTTGCATAGGTGCTGAATCCTACCAGCTCAATCCTCAGTCGAAGCAAATCATGACATCAAGCCAATTGGTCGAACAGTTGCCCAAGCGATCTCTCCAAGGGAGTTATGACCAAGAAGGATCCCCTGTGGTCGAAGAAGAGTGCGCATATTTAATTTGAATTGATTATGAATGCAGGAGGAGATGCGATTGCAATACTGTTTCCTCCAGAGAGGATTGAAAATAACATTTCGGCTTTTACAGAAAAGAAGATTATGGATGGAGAATATCTCAGTTCCCCCGCCGACCGAGATGTCATCATCAAGTCATCCTATCACTAAGCCAATAATGTTGAAAACACATTGCATTAGCCGCAAGAAACAATATGATTAGAGATCAACGTAAGATCGCGTTTTCATAAACAAGATGCCGAAGATATTCATGATATCTACATCGCCATTGTCAACGAAAGCTTCCAATTATTTGAGAAGGCCTTCGACGCATACAAGAGCAGCATCAGCAAAATGGAGAAATATTCCTATAACGCCTGAGTTAGTTTCGCTTTTCATACCAAAGAAGCTACAATAGCTCTCAATGCCGCCAAATCAGCCCGTGAAAGCAATTCTGCCCATTCCGCAAAAGTCGCCGATTTCGTCTATGCCCAGCACACAAAGCAAGCCGCACTAGATAAGCGAAGTGTGTACGTTGCCGATGCTACATAATCAAAGATTACAAGCGTATCGCAGCTCTGGCATCACAAAATGCCAAAGATGCTGCCCGCGATCACACGCGCGCGCTTCAAGGAGCCCAAGACGTCCAAACTGCTGCATATGTTAGTCAACTCACCATTCAGCAGATCAGTCAAAGGCTCAGAAAGCCCGACTAGAATCCAAGCCATTTTATCCTAGATACATCGGTAAATCCTGAGAAAAATACAGATTCTGACAGGATTGGGGATGCTTGTTTCGGCAGCATAGTTACCTTTGGCCTGCTTTTTAATCCATCATGGTACCGACGTTTGCACCCCAGTAGTCGGTTATGCAGTGCGAGAACGAGTATGCTGAGAGCACCAAGGAAGCAATGAAGGATGTTCTTCTTGATAAAGCTGGAAACTTTGTGAGCCGCGCTGGTATGCAGCTCGAGTAATCAAGCACGCAACGATAAGACCAGAGAGCTTTTACCTCGAACCGAGTGAGCCGCTAATTAGTCACTGGTTGATAACACTAATCTCACGAGTCCATTTATGGTCTTTTTCGTGGTAAGCATCATGCGCGGTGAGTTTATGAGGGATTGAATGGATTGCTGGGCAATCGATGATTTCCATTCCATGATATATGCAGTACTGTCTTGAATGTGCACCACCTCTGACCGTTTAGGTATTTAAGTAAGTGCCAGACACACTAGAGCCCACGCAGCTTACGAAGATTGCTGTAAGTGCGCGCGTGAACATTTTATACGAAAAACACGGTGAATTCGTGTTTGCAGGGATGTGACGCTGACGGGGTCTTCAGTATGAATTCTTGGTGTCAATCAGAGACGATCATCGGTGCAACAAAAGGTGATGAAGCCAGTAGATTGTCCACAGCGTTGAAAAAATTTTCGTTGCGGCTAATTTGAGAGAGAATAACTATACAATTTGTTAGTTATTTGACGGCAGTGATTAGACGACCAGACCGCTTTAGATACAAGCAACACCAGATGTAAAATTCACGCTAACAATTTGTGCGACTATTTCTTTTGTGATTCTGACGACCGACCGTTCTTTGCCTACTTAATTTGTGACCAGTATCGATCGACACACGACGCTTACAAGTTCAGTTCAACGTACCCCATCAACGCACCTTGAACTAGAGCATTTTTTGCCGCTTTGTCATTCTACCATCGATTGGCTGTTGGTGTGGGGGCTGGCTATGTCTGCTTATACAAGTCCTAGGATGTTTTACGCAAAATTCGCGAAAAACAATGTACCAAAGCGTGACCCACGGGACATCATCCTTACCGTTTTGATTCATGATTTCTTCGAAAATAGCCAGGTTCTTTTTGTTGTGCATGTGAAACAATTTTTCTATCAGCTGGAATGTCTGACCATTGAGAAGCGTAATGGGATCGTCATGATCGGCCTTTTGAATAAAAGTTCTGATAGCATTCTGAATTCTTACGATATCGTCGTGAAAAGCATTTTTGATCCTGTTAGAATCTGTGTTTTTTCCAGAATTAATCGATGTATCTAGGACAAAATGGCTTAGATCCAAGTCGGGCTCTCCAAGGCTTTGCTTGATCTGCTGAATGTTGAATTGACTATGCTGAGCAAGAGTTTGGGCGTCTTGGACCCCCTGGACCGCGCGTGTATGATCGAGAATAGCTTCTTTGGCGTTTTGTGATGCCAGAGCTGAAATACGCTTGTAACCTTCGACCTTAGCATCGGCTGCAACAGCATTTTGCTGAGCTAATGCGGCATTCGTTGTGTGGTAGGCATAGGCAGCATCGGCGGATTTTTTGGAATGGGCAGAATTGATTTCACGGGCTAATTCGGCGACATTGAGAGCTACTGTAGCTTCGTTGGCATGAAAAGCGAGATTATCTTTTGCGTTTTTGGAAATGTGAGAATTTTCCTCCATTTTGTCGATGCTGTGCAGGTATGCGTCGGAATTCTTCTTCCATATTTGGAAGTTTTTGCTGACAGCGACGGTGTTGGCGTCATGAAGATCTTCGGCTAGTTGTTTATTATGAGCACTCTTAATTAGTTTTTTTCTTAATTGCAGTCTTGTGTTTCTTTCAACTTTGCCATTTTTTACATTTTGGAGCATGTCACGATGGTGGGCGGGAGAACCGAGATATTCTCCATTCATAATCTTCTTTCCCAAGATGTCCGGAGTGTCATGTTCAATCCTTTGAGTATTTGACTTTAACAGTGCAATCACATCTTCTCCTGCATTCTTGATCAAGTCAGGTAAATTTTTAAGCTTTGCGCGCTCTTCTTCGACCACAGGGGAGGCTTCTTGGTCATAACTCCCTTGAAGAGATCCCTTGGACAACACCTCGGTATCTGTCCGACCAATTGGCTTGATGGTATGATTTTGATTCGTCTGAAAATTGAGCTGGTAGGATTCAGCACCTATCCAAGTGCTGGCTGAAATGATGAGCACAGCGGCCTTGGAGAAAGCGCTACCAATGAGACCGAATTTTGTCTATTTATATAATGCCCTTATATTAATACTCTAAAATAGCAAGAATAAGTTCTCTTTTAAATGTAAATAAAACAAAAATAAATCCTATTTTCACAAGCTAATTTTCGTGTATGAGATAGATATTTCTCGAAT